CAATTGTAAGTTTAATAATAAAAAAGTGTAAAACTTACGTTGGCACTGTAAGATTTACACAATATTACGTTGGCATCATAAGATTTATGCAAGTTTACGCTAAATTAATTTCCTGATGGTAAGTAGCAAGTGAACATATCAATCACCAGGAATCTCATCATCTTTATCAACTTCTACATCAATTTCAACTGAATTCTTCACTTCTCCTACTATCACTACTTCCACTATCACTACTATTAAGTTATCTTTATTATTATTATCTCCAACTGTAAGTTTATACAATTATCATTTTTATTTATTGATTGATTTTAATCAGCTATTTGTTCATTATTCTTTATTATTGTATCAACAGTTATAATGATGTCAACAAATTTTAGTCAATGTCAACAACTCCTTCTTCTTCTGCACCAATGACCCCACCACATCCTACAATTATTTTTTTATTTGATTGTTGCTATTAATGAAAATGATAATGGCACAAGATCAAATTCCTACATGATAATGGTGATTATCATATTAATAATGGCATATGTCTTTTCAAGATGATGATTTAATAAAAATATTTATTAAGTAACTATGAAATGTTGTTGGCCAACAAGTGATTAAGTCATGTGTTTTTATAATATTATTGGTAAAGATGGCTCTGCAACTAGGAAGTTGCAATTCAAAAAAATATTGACATCTAATGCTGCAACTGCTGCAACTGCTGTAAGTTTGCAATTGCTGCAACTGTCTGTAATTGTCTGCAACCTCTGGTCAGCTACTTTGATCACTATAAAATCAAATTTATTTTTATCAAAAAAATTTTTTTAATTAATGATTTTATTTAAAAACAATAAATCCCATTTTGCAGCTATGTGATTCCATTTTTGATATTAAATCATCATAATTATAGTTGCAGACAGTTTCAGACAGTTTCAGGGGTTGCAGAGGCTGCAGAAAAGGTTGTTTAAAACCTGTAGTTGCAGAAAATGTGAAAACAGTTACAGACACCAACTTTAATTACTGGTACAGTTCAACAATCAATTTCTTGTTCGTCAAACAATCGTGCAACAGGAGAAAAAAATTTGCACGCGTTTAAAGTTTGGTATAAGAGAAAAAAAATTATATAAAATGTTGCTGTTACTAGGTTAGGTGGTAGGGGAGGGTAGGGAAAATTAAATCTTTTTGGCATTGTTGTATGTGAAATTGAAATATTATGGAGTGGGGTGAAATTCTGATTGGCTAATTTGAATTTCACGTATGTAAATTTGAATTTCACATATGTGAATTGCGAATTCACATAATTTCATTTTCACGTACAACAGCACCATGTAATTTTTTAAACGACTTTGAATAATTTAAATATTAATATGCAAATTTTATTGTGTTGTGAAATTATCCACATCAAGCCAATTTTGGGAATGTCTCAACAATTTTAGATTCTTTTAAGTTACAATTCCACCATCCATTGCATTAAAAAGTCACATATTGTTATGAAAGTTATCCTCAAATATTATGATTGATTTTTTTCAAAAACAACAACTTTTATATAAATTGTTTCTGAATTTGTCAAAATGCATTTGGAAGACGTATTATCCTAATCAGTCAATCACAGTGCGAATCAAACCTTATGATTTTTGTTACCGACCTTTCTATATTAATATAGTTTTTGGGGTCCTATCCAAACTTTGAGCTCGAAATTTTAAATTCAAACAAAACGTTTTCAGAAATTTTCAAAAAAGCTGGACCATCTGTTTTTTTTTTGACATTTGATACAAATCATTTTTAACTGTTTTTGCACTTTGTCACTGAAATCCTCAGAAACAGTAAAGCAAGCACGACTTGCGCACCAGGCGAAAAGATTTTCTCGTAAAATTTCAATAGTTACCATAGTTTTTTCATTCGAAATAAATTCATTGCTCAAACGCGTTGTTGCAATTTTGTGGTTTTTTCGAGATTAAAAATGGTTTTGCAATTCGTCTTTGAAACACTCGAAAACCATCGGCCGGGCAAGCCTCGTGTATTATCTAAACGAAAATTGGGTCATTTTAAATTCAGTTTGCAAACAACTGCTTCCTTTCATCCTTCTTTTGACTTAGGTTATAAAGCTTATAAGGGGCATTTCAAGCTTTGTTTATCTCTAAATAATACTCTATGATTTTTCTACTAAATTTTATTAAACCAAATTTATGGATTATTATAAAATTATTATTATTATATTAATACTTTTAATTTATATTATTATTATCCGTTCAATCCGTTTGATCTGACAGATGTATTATTTGTGTGATGACCGGATGACGGATTAAATTTTAGAGGATGATGAATGGATGTATGGATGTATGGATGAATGGATGTCCGCGGATCGCGAAAAAAATTTTTAAAGATCAATTTATTAATATTAAATAGTGTTACACGTAATTTCAATTTTACTAAATTATGACAGAAACATCAATTGAATCCAACGTTAAAATAGATTTATGTGAGTTTTAAAAAGATGTGTATATAAATGTTATGAATAGTTTATTAAAAAAAAATATTATCAAAAATAGCAAAATCTAGATATGATCAATCTACATACATTGGGCGTGTAAAGCATTTTTTAGATGTTACTGATCCCAGGTATTTTGTTTGAATGCTTATGATTTTAACGAGCTTATATATATATAATTTATTTACATTACATATTTTATAGAACATTATTTGTTTCAAAATCTAAGTTAAAAACAGCAAAAAGCTTAATTAATGATTATAATTCTGGTAAAATACAAGACATAGATCCAGAAAAATTATGGAAAGCAAAAAAAAGTTTGTAATGTATAAAAAATAAGAAATTTAAAGCTGGAATGATTTAAATCTCATTTAAATATTCTTATTTATAATATTGAACAACTAACTAAACGATTAATATAATAATTTAGCATTAGATTCTACAATTCATCCAGATACTGGTGAACCTATTTTTCTTCCATTTAGAATGTCATGTTTTGTACCAACAAATCTTGTTGTTGTAGCTGGTATGCTAATGCCCAATCCAAGTGTAAGAAATTTCATGGAATTATAGAAAAAAAATATTCTTTTCACAATTTTATAACACTTTATTTTTTTTTTAAAAAAAATAAATTAAAAATAGATGAAAAGCCTTATATTTTGGCAATGGGCAAATCAAAGTATCAATGTGGCAATAAATTATTCAAACGCTAATAAAACAACTCCATTGAGTTTTAAAGAAACTGCAAGTAATAAAATTATTTTTAAAAACTTTTTTCAAAAGAAATATTTAATAGATTCTGCTAATATTATTTATAATATACAATATTCAGTTGCATATACTTCAGCTGTGACTACTTCATGTGTTCTTGCTGTGGGACTTACACAAGCTGTACCTAGGATGAGGTTTTTGAAGCCTTCAGTTCGTGGGCTTTTATCTAGATTGGTACCTTTTTTTGCTGTAGCAAGTGCTGGTACTGTAAATGTCTATCTAATGAGATTAAAAGAAATCAGGTATATTAATTGATGACTATTTTTTATTATTGTTTTTATTATTGTTATATATTTCAATTGTCATATTGTTTTTAATATTTAGGAATGGAATAGATGTTTATGATGCTAATGGAAATAATTTGGGCAAATCACAAAAAGCAGGTGCATCAGCTGTTGGTCAGGTATGTGATAAATAATTATAATTATATATAATTATATAATTTAAATATCAATTAATTGATCTAATTAATTTATTATTTAATTCAGGTTGCAATTTCTCGTATTTTAACAAATTCTCCTGTTCTTACAATACCACCAATTGTTCTTTCACAACTTGAAAAAACATCATTTTTAAAACACTATCCAAGATTATTGACTCCTATTAATTTTGGTGATTGTTATTATTTTTTGTATTTTGAAAAATATAATTGTCAGACCAGTCTTTTCTAACCATTTTATTTAATCAATTAACCAAATTCTTAATAAATATTTTCAGGGCTCATAACCATTTCTTTGATGACTGCTCTACCTTTAGCAATTGCAGCATTTCCTCAATATGCTTCAATAGATCCGATGAAACTGGAAACCAAATTTTGGGAATTAAAAGATGAAAATGGAAATGTTATAAAAAGAGTATTTTATAATAAAGGATTATGATGTGTCATTCATTATTTAATTACAATAAAATCGAAATTTTTTTTTTCGTATTGAAATAATAATTTCCAGTGATACGTATTTATTTCTCAATGATTAATTATTGAAGTAGTTGAAATTTTTGTTCGCGACACCGAACTTTTTTATGTTGTGAGACAAACAAAATAAATAAAATAGGGTATGGCTGCGCACAAATCCTATTTTGGTAACGCGTGATCCATACGAAAGTTTTGTGATCTGTGCCATAAATGAAATCAAATCCTCAAGGCCAAGATGTTTTGACTCGAGACAATTACATAGTAAAAATCAATTCTGACCAGATCAAAATGGCTTCAACTTCATATATAATCAATCTATGCCTTGGTTGTAACATGCCCCATTTTATATTTGCGCTGCCCTAAAAAAAGTATTGATTCTCCCCCCAAAAAAAACGGTGCGTTGGTTTTGCTTTTTATGTTGTATATGAATTTGAGGATCGAGCTGAAATACTATTCTATGTATAATTTGGCTTTACACGCTACATTCAAATATGAGGCATCTATATATTTGTTTGGAGCATCAACATTAGCCAGTCATACTATTTATTTGTTGCGTTGAGCAAAAAATTTATTTATTTAAAAAATTGCATATACAAAGGGAAATTGTTCACAAATTTAATAAATTTAACAAAGATCCTTTGAAGAAGAATACTTATGTGAATCAAAGACTATTTACGAATTTTGATTGTTAAAAAATCAACAAGGTTTTTTTCCTAATTAAAAAAAAAAGTCTTTTATTTTGATCCTTTCCTCGTGTTTATTTATTTATCCCAGATTAAAGCTCAACTAGATTTCTATTTTTTCAAGTCTATCTCTATACAAGAATAAGCTTCATGCAAACATCAAAAGTTATTTACGAACTTCGATTGTTAAAAAAAAATCAACTAAGCAGTGAAATACATTTTTGGAAATTGGATAAGAGGAAACAAAAAAAAAAAATATTACAAGGATAAGTTGCTCTCTTATTCAAAGAGCCATCCCATCCTGGAAGATGATGACTGTTTAGCAATTTGATTTTGATAATTAGTAGATTACAACTTCAGATAATTAGGCCAGAAGGTGTGATTTTAATGTCATATATATATACACAGCAAACCAGTTTTTACGAGTGGTAGAGGGTATTGTACTGTATTTTGAATCTTGGTTGATGAAATTACTTTATTTAATTCAACATCCACTGTGATAGTTCTTGGATACTAGTCATTCTAAATCATTAAGCAACCTGTTGAAGGATGAAAGTGAAGTTCAACTAATTAAAAAATTAATTCTTTCAAAATATTTTTTTTTACAAATTAAAACTATTACTAATATTTCTTCTTTTATTATTATTACATTTCATAAAAAAAACAAAACGCGTTCGAATTGTCTTCAATGCTTAAGGTTGAAACTCACATAGGCAGTAACTTTCACAAACATACGAGTTATGTTAACTTCGAATTTTGACTTTAACTACGCGTAATAGTAATAATACACAATAATATTAATAATAAAATCAAAACACGCTTTAATGCCTGAGTTTGAAGCAACATAGGTTGATCAATATTGGTACGTAGAACGACCTTTACATAGCACATAAGACAGATTTCGGTACAGATTTTGTAAGTTTAAATTTTGAAAATTTAAGTGATAAAACTGAAATTCTTTTATTGATAAATCAATCGCTAGTGATGAAGTTAACGTAATTTTCTTTTTTTTTTCAATTTATATTAAAATTACGAGAGAATCGTTTGTTGCACGCCACTCAATTCTCTGCAAAGAAAAGTAAGTTTTTAAACAAAAACGTAACAGCGAGTTTCGTGAAATACTGATATTCTGATTATAAAATCACATGACTCAATCACATAGATATATATTCGTTCAGAGCACTGGATGCAAAGCATCTTAGCATAATATCATGTATACATGATCAATGATGTAATCATTAATAAAAATAGACTATTTTATGGCTAGATGGTGCATTGATCAAGTAGTCTAATAAATTGCAGCAAAAACATATAAATAGACCTGCTATCCCCCCAAAAACATCACCAAAAACAATGCATAATTCTGCCTTTTATGTTGCATTCGAATTCGAGGGTCGAGACACGTAGTACCAAAATGGCGTTCCATGTATGATACACATTATATTCAAATACGAGGTATCTATAAATTCGTTCGGAGCATCAACATTAGCCAGTCATATTGTATACTATTATATCAATATTTTTATTTTATTCAAGGGAAATTGTTCACGAATTTAATATATTTAATAATCTCTCCCTTGATAATTAATAAAACAATAGGTGACAATGAAAGATACTTCATAAATGATCTTTAATAATTTAAAGACTTCCATGGTTTTAATGACGCCCAACTTCCTGTATATTGTTTTTTATCTCATGAAACAAGGCATTTAAATCAATATATTGACTTAATACATCATATTCATGACCAGAACCTAAAGTTAGATTTGTGTTGGAGATAATGATGAAGGTTCATCAAATAAATTTATTAACCAAGATCTTAATGATGATACATAGTGAAACATAGATTTGTGTTGGAGATAATGATGAAGGTTCATCAAATAAATTTATTAACCAAGATCTTAATGATGATACATAGTGAAACATGGAATTACATAAATATTTAAATTATCAGTTACTATCAAATCATTTCTTGTAATTACATCAGACTCACTGTACAAAACAATTAAATAATTCGTTATAAAGTGAGTTAAAAGTAATGGTAACTAGAGTAACGACAAGTGGCGGGTGATAACCACCACCATCCTTAAAACACTTATTTGTGTTGTTCTTTGTTGGTTTCTCTTCTTTTTCTTCTTTTTTTGTCAGCAACAGCAGACATTTTTTTTATTTTTAGAAGAAGTTTGTGATTTGATTGATGTGTACACATTAATTATTTATCCTATTGGTATTTTTTTGGTAGGACAGATGCGAATTGATTTTTATTTTTTATTTTTTGACAGAGTCCAAGGTGACAAAATGTGAGTGTTGTTGTTTGGTTTGGTTTGGGTCTCCTAAAGAAAACGTGTTAATAACTAACCAGAGGTACTCTTTTTTATTTGTATTGGTATGTATGAGGTGTCTTTTATTTTAGCTTATGAATATTTTAATTGGAATCAAAACGCAGAGCAGATCTTGCTGGGTAATTACAAAATTTTCATTGATAATATTTTGCTTTTGTAATTGTAATAATAATACTATCATTAATATATAATTACAAGATGTCAAGGCAGCACACCATTGAATATGAAACATTTCAAGTATGCTATGTTTGATTATTGGAAATTTTTAGAGACATTGAAGCATGCATGCTACCTTGAACATATTACAGTCTTCTCTCATCTTCCTTGTGTGCATAAGGCTAATCTGACTTGCATCCCTCGATGATACAATGATGCTACTGAATTCCAGGGGGATCGCTCTGCTCTGGAATTTATTGAGACTGTATCAATCATCAATGACACTTTTCACTAATCTTCCCAGACCAAAGAAGGCTGCTGGCATGCTGGTCGAAAAGTTGCCTGCAATGATCCCTACTTTAGGGCAAGGATGGCTCTGTGATCAAGTTGCAACTCTGGAGGGATATTAAGAGAATCTGCAACTCATTCCAAGCACAGGAGGTCACAATTCAGAGCAGGGTTTGTGGCCCTGAAATTGCATTGGGCTCTGATGTTAAGAGGAAAGTTGTAAAATAGTGTTTGTTTTGTATAATCACTTTCCTAAATTCTCTGTTTTTTTTGATTCTAACCAATTTAATAATTTTGGGTAAGGGACTAGATCGGGTTTTTGCCCAACCAGTCCCTGTTGTAAAGATTAAAATTATTGCATGATTATATACAATATGGCCAACAAGAAAAAGTCATAAAAATGGTTCGGATTTTGTTTGGTATGTTTAAGGCTTTATGTGAGCCAGCTTGCAAGCTGGCTTGAGAGCTTACTAAGTTATTTGGCTTGTGAGGAGCTTTAGGTATGTTACATATAAATTAATAATTTTCATAAATACTCTGTTTTCTTCAATTTTTGTTTGACCAACTGAACTTGTTATTTAATTGAGGTAGGGTTGTTGGTGAGTAGACATCCCACCAACAAGACAGCAACCCAGGACTCAAAACTCTGAATTCAGGGAAAATCCAAAACAGCAACACTCCTACATTGGAGAATTTTTAACCAGTTGCAAACACCAACTTTATACTGAAGGGGTATAACACAAAGTAATCATCCACACAGGCACCAGCTATCAGCAATCAATGCCCATTTGGTAACAGCCAAGCCTGGTCTGAAAGGAAGATAGGGGAAAGTTTTGTCCAAAGCCTTCCAACATATGGATGGCCTTCACCTGTGGGAGAAGTTTTACAATTATGAGGGTGTGTGAAAGCACTAATTTGTATATTTGTGACAGGAAAATTTTAATTAAATCTGACACCTATGATCAATATCAGATTTATTATTCATAAGGAACCATAATTGATAATCAGGAAAATTATTTTATTTTGTGAACCCCAGAGATCTGGGTAGACACACATTATTAAAAGTTTCATTTATGCATGGCCTTGGTATTGTTACTACCTGGATGATGCAATTGTTTGTTATGCCAATGATGATATCAAATGTATTAAATAACCATCATGAACATCATGAATATTCGATGGATGGAAGCATTCACATGCAAGGAAATGAAGGAAATGATTAAATATCTAAGTCATGTTTGTTTCATTATAATATTAATTACTTGACTACCTTCCAACACCTAAAACAGATAGAGTCCCATTCTTAAGTGGTTTTGGTCTGTAATAATTTCGGAAATCATTATAATCTACAAGCCTGCCTCCAGGATATGAAGCAAATATGCAATATCTATGATATGTACTAAATTTTTTCTCAATTAATAAATCTTGAATATTGGCTCTAACCCGTACAGCCCATTGGACAAAATTTTCTTTCTGTCTCACGATTGAAAAGTTGTCATATGATCTTTCGATATCAAAGAGTTTCTCAAATTCTTCAACATAATAAATAGGACAATATTAAAGGGTTTGGGTAATGGTCTTTGTTTATTACCGAGAATAATAGTGACATCTAAACCAGACATATTTAGCAATTATAATAAGTTTAATGGTTTATATGTGATTTATTATTAACCTATAGACATGATTCATTTTTAATAAAGCGAAGAGATAATCTAATAATACTGATAAATATATACACATTAATACGCATGATTTTTAAGGATCTAAACCATGTGTAGTTAATCCAATTTTGATATCCCTGTGTATATATAATCGCACAAATAAATCAACTGATCTCTTTCACGTTCTATGAACTTCTAATAATAGCCAAATTAGCTCGATTGCACATGAAGACACAAAAGTAATGTATATGGCTACAAACGTAAACATGTATTCGTTTCACAATGATTTTTTTGTGATACCGCTAAAATCATTTTCTCTTTTCTTATTGTATATGGTTTTTCCGATAAGAAGAAATGCTAATGAAATTTGAAAAGGATAAAAGAATGGAAGGTTTATTGTTCTTATCAGTACTAATATCAAATTTCACACGTTATGGGACTTGAGATCTTTTACAATCTCCGAAGAACGCCATATTTTACGCTTTGAATGACCATAAATAACGAAAGTGGCAAAAAATGACGCAATTAATTGAATATGGTAATCTATAAATAAATTATTGATTGTATCTATGCCACACCAGCAAGATTTCTCTGTGAAATTGTTGTTATCAAAAGACAGGCAATGGATTGTCGCAAGTTTTACGTTTTAGTTGAAATTTGAAAAGGATAAAAGAATGGAAGGTTTATTGTTCTTATCAGTACTAATATCAAATTTCACACGTTATGGGACTTGAGATCTTTTACAATCTCCGAAGAACGCCATATTTTACGCTTTGAATGACCATAAATAACGAAAGTGGCAAAAAATGACGCAATTAATTGAATATGGTAATCTATAAATAAATTATTGATTGTATCTATGCCACACCAGCAAGATTTCTCTGTGAAATTGTTGTTATCAAAAGACAGGCAATGGATTGTCGCAAGTTTTACGTTTTAGTACTGACTATGTCTTTAGGATTATTTTTCGGACTTTTCTTTGGACTGGATTATCCGGAAATCAAAAGGGCCGAATATATTCCAACTATTTGTACCGTTCAGTCAGAAACCATTGAATCTAGATATTGCTGCTATAAAGATTGTGATACAACTTGTGGTGACAGTGCACCTTCTTCAGCTCCCGATTGTTCAACACTTGGGGGCAAAATGGAATTCTTTCTCCCCAGCACAATGTGCGACAGCAACTATGACAAATAATTCGCAAAACATAAATGATCACTGTCCTATTGATGGTCCTCAGGCTATTTGCGATGATGGTTCTTATTGTCGTAATGAATGTTGTAATCAATGTACGTCATGTAGCACCAGTTGCACTGATGTTACTGACTGTGCCCCAAGTTGTACTTCATATATTTGTAATTGTTATTGCTGTAGCTCTACAGATCATTGTTCTTGTTGAATTAAGTGTCCAGAGTGTTATTCGGTCA